GTTTGCTTTTTTAATATCTAAAACAAATTGACACTTTATTGCTTGCTAATTCTTACACAAATTATCTGGATCGGTACATACTTTTCTTTATGCTAACTCAACACTCAGTTTGCTTCTCTATCTGTGGTTAAATACACATTACTATAAGCAAATAAAAATGTCTAAAATAAGGGTTCTATGTCTTAGTGTCTGGTTATTTTGAAACTGGGTTTTCATTCTGAGTTATATCAGTAAACTATGTCATGGAGGGATGACACTGTATCTGTTTTAACTTGGTTTGTGCTAAATTGATAAAATACAACCTACTCTTAAGCAGTTAAGAGTACATCCTTCATCATATAAGTTAGCAAATACCTTATATTAATACAAACTCCCAACAATGTAATTAAATCATTGCTACTTGAAATACTTTATACATGAATAATTTATCTCTTTACACTGTTGAAGTCTTGCATTTCAGTATATCCTACAGCTTCTGTATCATCACCTGAAATTTGCCTAAAAAAGAAAATATGAAAAATCATTTTTTTGACTTTACTTACAAAGGAAACAAGTCTAACGATCAACTTTCTGTTCTATTTAGGAAGTACTTTCAATCAATAAACTTGCTCTATCAAACAACTTTTCACCCTCTTCACAATACTCAATATAAGTCAATTCCATTTTTATGAGATGATTCTCTGGTTTGTGAGTAGCTGCCTTTGTTTCTCTGTGATACCTACTTTTTGGTTTTTCACTGCTGATTATCACTGTGAATGGAAAAGTAATACAGTGAATCTCAAGTTTTATTCTTGGTAGCTACAGTGAAAAGATCTTTAGGAAGGAGTTTAGTGACAAAAGATTAAGAGTTGGCTTTAATCTAGCTTGATGTAATAGATATATTCTAGAAAGCTGTTTAAAAATTAGAAACATTATCAGTGCTATGGGGAAATCTGCTCTTAAAAGAACAGTTTTAAAATTTTCCTTTAAAAGTTAAGAATCATCTCTTGAGTTGTCTTATCAATGTGGATTTCTTTAGCAGATTTTCTAAATCATTATCTATTTTGAATTAAAAAATCATTGACTATGACCAGCCCAGGGGCAAGGACAAGAATGCAGGAGGGGACAGGAAAGCTGGATGAATGGAAACGGGGAACCCAACGTAGAGAAGGGGAGAGTGTTGTCACGGGATTGGCAACCAATGTCACAAAACAACATGTATATTAACTGTTTAATGAGAAACTAATCTGCTCTATAAATCTTCACCTAAAGCACAATTAAAAAAAAAATCACTGAATATGAATATAAGTATGCTACATATTACTACACTAAATGTTAAATTGATAAAAATAAAACAAAACGGTGTTAGCATTTTAAATTCCCTCTAACTAAAAACAAATAAAAAAGCTGGAAAATTTCATTAAAAACATTTACAAGTAATTTGAATTCAACTTACAGGCAGGCATAGAAGACACTTCTGCTGTTACAATACTTTTTATTCCCAAATTTGATAAGCCACCTCTGATTAAGCCACATGTAAATGCTAAATACTAAAAAGGAAAAAAATATAAAAGATTAATTATTTACTAAAACAGTAAAGCTAATGATAAATATGACATTTAGGTAAGCCATGCTATCATTGCTGACTGTTTAAATAAAGGGGTGTAGGAAAACAACTGTTCAAATTACTGAAAAATCTGACTGTTAGAAGACATTTGTTCTGATAATCCAATATCCAAACATCTTTCCTATTTTAAAGGAATCTTTGGATAAGTGGGAAGCGTAGCCCCACTTCTCACTATGGAAGCCATGCTGAGCCATAATGTGGGGCAAATACTCTTTCCCAATTCCTTGGCAACTAAAGCATGGACACATGACTTAAGCTCAGCCAGTTAGAAAGTGCTACTGGTATCTAGTGGGTAGAAGTCAGAAATGATGCTAAACATCCTATAATATCCAGGACAGCCCCCCACAACAGAGAATTATCTAGTTCAATATGTCAATAGTGCTGAAGTTGAGAAACCTTGTCATATAGAAATAAAGAGGTGGGAATGGGACTCAGTTACAGCAGACAAAGCCAGGACAAAAATAGAGACTGAAACATAAATAACTCAGGGACTTCTGATTATCCACATTTTTGTACTATGTAATGTTCGACATACCTATGAATAATCCACATTTTTGTACTATGTAATGTTCAACATACCTATGAATAATATAACATCGCTATCTTATTTTAATATATACATAAATGGGTACTGTTAAGTAATTGGATCTGGAGTCATGAATTTCCAGCTGAAAGAGACCTTAGAGATTGTCTGTCCCAAGACTTCTTAACCAGGCAATCTATACATCCTCTGATAATCAAAATCACTATATATGCATATTTATGGCAAGAGAGGGACCAGAACTTTCATCAGATTCTCAAATATGTCCATGACCTCAAAATAGTTAAAAATCACTGATCTGATCCAACTTCCTCTTTTCACAGCTGAAGAAACTAAGACCCCTCAAAAAGTTAAGTGAGGTCTAGAAACGTTAAAATAAGGTAAGTAAGTAAAGAAATAAAAATATATACATGTATATTAACCATTAAAAAAATCCCCCCATAATTAATTAGACACCCAAAAACACAGAAAATAAGCACCCCTGAATCAGTGAAACTACTATAAATTATTAAAGTATCATGTCCATTTTATTGGCTCAGTTTATCAACATCTTACAGCCTATAATAATAACCACTTAAGTATCTCCTATGTGCAAAGGACCATGTTAAGTACTTTTATAGACATTTAAACCTCAAAATAATCTTATAAGCATTTTATTAATGAGGACACTAAGGTCCAGAAGGGTTATGTAACTTCATCAATGTGACAGATCCATAAGTTGTCAGCTTTCTTTAATAAATCTGAATACTTTAATTTTTACACAAAATTAGAAAATCAAAAACTCCACAAAACCCAAAAACACACATATTCTTAATACAAAACATGTATTCTTAGAAACAAATACTAACTATATTAAAAAAAATTTTTAATCTACCACAAGAGATCCTAAATACAAACTCTGAGATGAATAATTCTGTAGTGCTGAAATCCGTTTTATAAGGTTCAGTATCTTCTAACATCTAATCTTCAAGAATCTACCATAAATCTACATTTCATTGGTAGTCAGTTGTGTTTAATTGGTAACCACAAGCCTACTTAGCTACAGTTTAGCAGAACTTATTTTAACATGATAAACATATATTCTATTTTATAGAAAACTGTTCAAACAAAAAACAACAACTTTAAAACTTATTTTTAATTCAAGTCTGTTATGATTGGCATTGTATTTTCACTACAGTGCTAGACTCTCCTTAATAGAAAACCCCAATCTTCTATTCCATTAAATACCTTAGACGCATGTTCTAAATACTGTTTTCCTGCAGAAATCTGAGTAAGCAGACGAAATTTGTTGTCCTGAAGTACATAGATGCCCTGTTCCAAAGACAGAAAAGACATTCAAAGTCAATGTAGGTTGTAGTACTTAAAAATTATCTTATCCCTATGAAACAATTAGTTTATTTAAGTTATTAAAACTCTCCTTTCAAATTGTTTTCAAATTTTTCTTCAAATAAAGGGTTTTGCAATGTTCAAGCTTAAGAACTGTGGGTTCACTATTTCATAACAATATTTTTTAGTGCTTTTAGACACTGAAGATACAAAGATGCATAAAACATAGTCCCTATCCTTAAAAAACTCAGTCTAAAGAGCCCTGGTGGCACAATAGTTAAGCACTTGGCTGCTAACTGAAAGGTCTGTGGTTCAAAGCCATCAGCTGCTCCTAGGGAGAAAAGTCCTGGTGATCTGTTCCTGTATAGATTACAGCCTAGGGAATCCTATGGGGCAGTTCTGCTTTGTCCTAAAGGGTTGTGATGAGTCAGAATCAACTTGAGAGCACCCAACAACAACAGTAGAAAGGAATTAGTAATGCATATCCAGCTGAAATGAAGTTATATATTATTAAATCAGATCTCAAAAGTCAATAATCAGAATTACTTCTTCCCATTAGCATTTCAAATAATTTCAGGCTAAGGATGGTATTATTATATGAAAAAAAATGAAATATTGGCAGCTACTTCTTGTTGTTAGTTGCCACTGAGTCGATTCTGACTCATGGAGACCCTCTGAGTGCAGAGTAGAACTGCTCCATAGGGTTTTCATTGCTGTAACCTTTTGGAAGGAGATCACAGGCCTGGCTTGCGAGATGCCTCTGAGTAGGTTCGAACCACCAACTTTGGGGCTAGTAGTTAAGTGCTTAACCATTTGCACCACCCAGGGATTCCTTGGCTGTTATTAGTCACGTTATTTTTATTTTTAATTTAATCAGAATGCCAAATTGACCCTAAATATTTAAGTTTTATAAAATAGAATCTACTTTAAATTTATAGCTTTCTATAAAAGCTACTAATTTTTACAGTAACAAAATATTTTTTAAGAATAGAAAAATGATAGCAACTAAACAATGTCAGTTACTTACGAGTTAAATGTCCTATAAATTAGACTTAAGAAATTACTCTAAAAATAAAAATGTGATATATTCGAGGTTCTGCATATTATTACCACTTGGTAACAATAACTAAGGATCCAAATCTAGAACCTATATCATTCTGACATTTGCTACTTTCTAAAACTAAGAATAACTTATTTAAATGGGGGAAAGGAACAGCTATCAATACTGATAATCGTTTCTCTGTCTTTATTCACTGTATTCTATTAGAATAATAGAAGAGAAACATTCCAAAGTTGACCAGAAATTATTTTAAGTTTTAAATAATAAGTAAATCATTAAAGTAGGATATTTATATTAAATTAAAAGGACTTATACAGTAGGCCTTAATTTATCTAAATACCTGATGATTTGTCCTCAGATTGTCGATTTGTTTCTTGAATACCGTAGTCCAAAAATCTTTACAAACGAACTTCATGATATCTAACTCATCCTTGAACCTTGCGGTATCTTTTGTAAACCTAAAAAGATCAACTAGAAGTAATACAGTATTTTTCCTCCAAAGAAAGCTAGAGGGACAAATCATTAATTTCCAAATGTCAGAACAACATTGAACATTTACTGACAAACATAAAGTGACAAGCACCAAGCAAAACAGATCTCATTTCAGTGGATTCACATTCTGGGGCCTTAAATAATTATGGGGCCTAAAATAGTCTAATGGTATAGCTGTAATTTTAGATACAACTCATTCTAGCACAACAACAACAACAAAAGAGCTGAGCACGATCACGGTATTATTATATAAAATATACTAGGAAAGGAATACTAAAAGAGAATTAATCTATAAATTGGAAGACTATCACATGCATAAACACATACTCTAAAGCATCTCCATCCCTATATATTTAAACAAAATCCTATTCAGGTTAAAGAACCTACTAGAACTTAAGTAGGAAATACAACAAGACTTTAAATATTTATTTCAATACACTGAAGTTTTCAGGAATAAAAACACAAAATGCACATTTTCTTCAAATATTAAAACATAAAAGTCAGAAAACTGAGAATAGCATCTGACTTAAAAAGAAATTTATATCTGTGAATTAACAGAGAAGAATTGATAATTCAGGAATTTAAATTAGTGTCATCTCAAGTTTTATACAGTCTTTTGAAATGGATCATCTTTGCTCATAACCTACCTGTAAGAAATTTTTCAAATCCATACTGCTCACCTTTCTATCAATCCTTGTCCCACTCGAAACCCCATGTTTTCCAGCTTAGTAATACACCGTCCATTTTCCTATTTTAAAAAATAAGTTTTGAATACTTTTAGAATACCAGAATTTCAGTATTCAAAATTCTGTTAAATATTAATGTAAATATTTCCATTTTTTCCACTGAAATATTTTAAGAAAAGGTGAGCCTAATTATCCCTCCAATTTTTTTTTCCGTTTTCCACCATTCTTCCTCTTTCCTAGGTTATAAAACCTGGTATCACCTTGGGCTTTTTTTAGTTGGTCATTCCTTTTATACTGTCACTAAGTTCTATTGTTTCTTGTTTCAAAATGTCTCTTAAGAGTCATCCAAGCTTCCTAATTCTCAGTGTTTCTTAGTTGATAATCCCAAACTGTTACACCTGGAACCCTGCAACTACTTTGCTCTACCTTTGGCAATTTCATCCAATCTTAAGACTATAAATACTAGCTCTATGCTGAAGACTCTCAAAGTCCTCTGGATGAACTACAGAATCCTATACAATCTGGACCCCCATAGCTCTCTGGCCTCAACCTTCCTCTCACTCTGGTCTGCCACACGGGTCTCCTTGCCGTTCTTTAAGCACAACAGGCACACTTCAGTCTCAGGGCTTTTGCATGACTGTCTCCTCTGCCTGAAATGCTCCTCCTCCAGATAGTCACAGGACCAACTCCTTTGCTTCCTTGAAGTCTTTGTTTACATGTCTCCACCTCAATGAGGCCTATTTGAACCTATTCTTTAAAATTATATCATCATCCCCCTTCAGCTAGTGATTCTCAGGGTAGTCCCCAGACCAACAGCATAGGCATCACAGGGGAACTTGTTAAAAATGTAAATTCTCCAGTCCCATCCCCAGTTACTGAATCAGAAACTCACGGGGAGGGGCTCCACAATCTGTGTTTTAACAAGGCCTCCAAGTGACTCTGATGCCCTAATCCCACTTCCTGGCTTAGTTTGTCTCCACAGAACTTCTCTCAGCATGTAACATACTATGCATTTTACTTTCTTTATATTCTCCATGTCCCCCCACCCTCACCCTCTGCTAGAATACAGTGTCGAGAAGGTAAGGATCTTCATATATTCTGAAGCCTCCCATGCCAGGAAGTACACATAGGCCTCATTATTTGCTAAAATCTCTTCTAAGAAACCATGCACTCCATTCATGGACTGTGACTACTAAATCTGTATTTCTAGTACAGATCTTATTTAACATAGTCATCCAGATGTCCCTCAAATTAGACATATTCAAAATGATATTATGTTCTTGCACTGTTCTTCCTCCAAAATTCCCTAACTTCATTAATGGCACCACTATCCACCTAGTTAGCCCAACTAGAAAACTTCCATTTTCTTCACCTCCCTCCCCCACTGCAGTTCTGAAGTCTATCTTTTACACGTTTTTCAAAATCCATCTTCCCCTCTCCATCCTTACACTAAGTTAGCCCTAATCATTTCTCTCCTGGATTACAGCTATAGCCTTCTAACTGGTATCCCTGTCTGCTTTTTTCCTCCTTTACTTTACCTTCTACAGTAAAACCTGCAAAAGTCGAAACATGTGTAAGGCAGAAACCTGTGCACAAAGGAAAACTCAAATATTCTCCACTAAAAGGTGCAACAGAAACGTGGTAAGACTGCACCCTGTCAAAGGTGGAAAACTTGTGAGATCCAGAAAAACATGGCAGTTCTGGCTCTCACAGGTTTCACTGTATGTGTCTGGTAGTAGACTTTCTAAAACACAAATCATGTTATTTCTCTACTGGATCTTTTAGTGTCCCTTCCTCCTTCTTCAGGATAAGGTCCAAACTCCTTAGCATGGCATCATGTACCTTTCCTTGAGTGGTTCCTGCTAGTTAACTAGATTCACTAGCAGCCACCTATCCACAAATATCCTTCCCTTCTACCACTCTGAAATTTCTGCAGCAACTCCAGAGCACCATGCTCTCTTCTGCCTCAATGCTTTTGCGCATGCTGTTCCCCAGACTGCACAGCCTTTAGAATTCAGCTCAAGGATCATATCCTCCCAGAAGCTTTCCCTGATACTCCTCTGGGCCACATGCTATCGTAATACTCTGTACATACATATTGTACTTACCACTATCCTTGGTTTTTCTATTACTATCCACACTCATTCCCAAACATACGCAGGTGAAATGGGAACCTGTAAGTCATGATGCTCTTTGTGAATCAATCTGGTTTTTTTGAATCATCTGGGAACATACTTATTAGCAGGAAATAAACTTACATGTAAATGCTGTCAAATCCTAACTATGATCAAACGGGCTTTTGAATTAAGCCCTACTAAATACCTTCTGATTTTGCTAGTTGTGCATTCACTTTGGCATCTGTGAGTGCTCACTAGTAGGTACCAATGTTTTAAGACTTAAATTTGAGAAAATTTTATTCATTAACATTTGCAGTGCAGTGAATTACTTAATATGGCCCTTCTGGCCACAGTCTTTGTGACTCCCACAAAATGATTGCATGGGACTCTGCAAATAAGGTGCTTGTGGCCCACCAAGGGGACTGGACAGCCTGCTAATAAAGCAAATAAGGTGCACGGAACCCTTGTGGGGGTGGTACCATGCAAATAAAGTGTATGGAACCCTAATGAGGGGATTGGTCAGTTTTGCCATCTAGCTAGGCTTAAAGGGAGCTAATTCTAGAGGCTGGAGAGGGGACCTCACTACTATCAAGAAAGAAGAGCCAGGAGTGGAATACATCCTTTGGACCTGGGGTCCCTGTGCTGAGAACCTCCTAGACCCAGAAGACAGAGAGAGCTGTGACATCGGAAAAGGCAGAAGATGGCAAGAAGCGGTAGCAAGTGCAGCAGGAAAACGGCAGTAGCAGAACCAGGAAACCAGGGTGGGCTTCCTGGCCCACAGGGCAAGGCAGCTACAGCAGGCATGCCAACCCACAGAGCGAGAGAGCTGACTCCTTCAGGAAGGAAGCTTGCTGGAGGAATGGGGTGCCTCCAGGCACTTGGCAGAGCTAGACTCACACACCTGAGTGAGAAATCTGAGTGCCTCCGGGCTGGGGCTTACTGGCAGAGTAGGGTATCTCCAGGCCCTTCTTGGCAGAGCTAAAGAGCTTTGTAACATTTGCCCAAGCAGGGCAAAGGCTGAGAGGCCGAGGGCCAGAGAGAGGCCTGTTTGCAGGTTTGGCTGAGAAGAGGCTGTCCTGATCAAAGAACTGTATCCTGAGTCATTCCTGATCCTGAATTGTAACCTGTTACTTCCCTAATAAACCCCATAACTGTGAGTAGAATCTGAGTTCTGTGTGGCCATTACAATGAACTACTGAACCCAGTAAAGAAGCAGAGTGTGGTGAGAGGGATGGCTGGTGTCAGAATTGCTAAAAGGGTTGGAGAGAGGAGGTATGTCTGACCTCCGCCTCAGGAGGAGGAATCAGCTTTGGGCTGGTGTTGATCTTGATTCTCTCTCCTCTCCCTTGTGAAGTTAGATGAGGTCTGACACTGACATTACTATGCCATTTTTACATTTTTTATCCATTCTTCATAAATTGGGAAATACCTAATTATCCAACTTTTAGAGATTTAATTTCTCTTCAAGCAAAGTTTGAGAATCACTGACTTGGAGGGTGAAAACCCTGTTTCTTTCCTTTATTTCACTTCAAAACTTTGTGACTCTAGATCTGAAAAGATATAAAACCATTTCCGTATGACAAGATTATACGTGTATTTCTTTTACATTTTTTTACTATGAAAAATTTCAAGCATCTTAAAGTAGAGATACTAATACAATAAACCCCCATATACCCAGATGCAACAATTATCAAGACTGACACATAAATATTTTTTAATCATTTTTTCTTATATGTACTTTCAATTTTTTCCCCACCAAAAACATACTGCAATAGGGAAAGAAAGTTTTTAATTTAAATGATACAAAACTTAAGGATTTCCTTTCCCTTATATGACTAGTACTCTTTTTAAAATTATCAGCCAAGATTAGAACAGTTATGCTTTGTTTTATTTTCAGTTAACCTATTGGAAAAAAAGAGAGGGCTTAAAAAAAGATTTTCCTGGGAAAGAGTTGGAAGAAGAAAAGAAAGTAGGGAGAGGAGAATGAAGAGAATGCATACTTGTTGGGGGTGGGGGGTGGATTTTATGATAATAGAGTAAAAGGAGAAAGGGAAGGCTAGCTTTGCAAGGACAGCAAGTATCTGCTACTGAGCACTTAGCATTAATAGCTATTGGTTGTTGATGATGATCAAGTCAAAAGTTGGTAACTTAGAAAAAAAAATCTCTATTATAGATGGGTCTGAGTAAGAATAGAATTTGCTTCATTTTCAGTACTCTTCCTGATGATTTCCTAATGATCTCTTCAAATGCATCATTCCTATTCTTTTTGTAGTTTACAAACTAGCAGCACCTTTTCCTGGCTGTCCCAAAGGTACCACAAATTCAACCTGTCCCCAAATAATTATCTTCATCTAGCTTTCTTTTCCTTTACTTCCTCTCCTGATTAATGGCACCACCATCCACCTAGCTGCTCAAGCTAAAAGTCTGGGGATAATTTTAAACTCCCACTCCCATGCCTAACCAAATGTTGAAGACTCTGTCTCCTATCTCTCAAACATGTTCTCTCCTCTTCTCACTATCTCTGTCTTAATTCAGATCCTCATTATCTGCTGCCTGGACTCCTGCAATAATGGATCTGCTCACTGCAAGGATCTTGCCTCCAACTCAAACACTGGATTATGTTTCTAAAATGAAAATGGGCCCTCCTTAAAAATCCTTCACGGAGAAGGTTCAAATTCTTTGCAAGGCTCTTTCTAGCCTCAGTTCTCAACACTTCTCACTCTCCATCCATACAATCTAATTACAGTGATGCCGTTAAACATATTTAATACACCACACTCTTTCATACCTCTATGACTTTACCTTTGCCCAGGATGCTTTTCCTATTCCCATCCTTCACCCTTCTTTATCAACAGCATTATAGAAAGGGTTCCAACTTTTGAATGATTTTAGAGTATCTCATTTCTAAAATCCCTTACAACTCCATAATTCTATACCTAATTACCACCCAATACTTTACTCATTAAATCTCCTGTGAGGCAGCGATTTTATCTTAACCATTTAGCACAGTGTCGGGCCCATGATACGCAATTAGTAAATGTTTTCTGAATCAATCATTGAGTAAAAAAGAACTCCCACATATTAGAACATAACTTCCATGAAGGTGGGAATACTGTTCATTCACTACTATATCCCCAGCTCCTGGAACAAGGCCTGGCATATAACCATCAGTGTCTTAGTTTCCCAGTGCTGCTTAAGACCACCACAAGTGGGTGTCTTTAAAGAACAGAAATTTACTTTCGCAAAATTCAGGAGGCTAGAAGTTCAAATTCAGAGTGCAGCTCTAAAGGGAGGTCCTTTTTTGTCTATTTCAGCTTCTAGAAGCTGGCATTCCTTGGAGTTCCCGGGCTTGTCGATTATCTGACTCCATCTTTATCAGAGTGCATCTATCTTCCCCGAGTCTGCTTCTGTGTTTAATCTGCTCTTTTCATAACTCGTAAGTACAGTAAAACCTGAGAAAGCTGAAACCTGCGTAAGGCAGAAACCTGTTAGAGATGGAAAATTAAAATATTTCCCACTAAAATGAGCGATAGAAAAGTAAGTAAGTAAGTAAGACTGCACGTCCCCCGTCCCCCCTGTGAAAGGCGGAAAATTTGCGGACCTGGAAATACTAGGCAGTTCCATGGAGTTCCTGCTCTCACAGTTTCACTGTAATTAGGTTTAGTCCACGACCTACACAGGTGTGGTCTCGTTAACATAACAAAGAAAACCTCATTTCCAAACAGGATTACATCTACATGTATAGGGGTCAGAATTCGAACACATATTTTTGGGAGACAATTCAATCCATAACAGTCACTAAATAAGTATTTTATAAATTAATTTGTGTTTCCTAATTATCATAACGCCTGAAAACTTTCCTTTGTTTGACCTCATACCCTCATTAGCCTCCTGTTCTGTTGTGTGGACTGGCAGTGGGAAGTAGGAATGAGGAGGGAGGGACAGGATTCTCAGGTTAGTACAGGGGACGGCTCGGAAGTGCTGGAAGTGCCAGGAAAATGAAGTAGGAGTGCCCAAATCAGCTCTGCAGTTAGGCCTGCCGTAAATCATGGTAGGAACACTAAATCTGTGGCCTACAGGACGCAGGTAGAGAGGTACGGACAAAAAAGAATCAGACGAAAGAAGAAAGGATGAGGATGGACGTATGAAAGATGACAGCTGACAGGTCCTAGGGCTTAGGATACCTGAAAGTGGACCAGTTTGGCTACACCTCGGGAGCATCTGGTGAGGAAAGAACTGAGGACAAACAGGGAATGTCACCGAAAAAGGACCTCAAGGGCGTGTGGCAGCACTCACCACCTCCCCCTGTTCCGCGGACTTGTACACTCCAGACACCATCTCGTTATGGAGAAGCAAAAACACCGCCTCGTCGGCCATTTCCTGCTTATTCTTCAAAGCTCTGGGTTTCTGCTCCCGTTTGGGCCGAGCGCGGAGGTTCCGTCTTGGGCCACAGCAACTGTGCCAGCGCCGCAATTCCCTGGTCCCCCGTTGCTAGGAGACCAAAGAATTTCACTTGGCTTCGCGAAGCCGGTAGGCAGTTTGGTACCTGCGCAACCCTACCCACGGAGACACCAAACCCTCGGACGGAACGAAAGAGTTTGACAGCGACGTGAGCCAAAACGTGCCAGCGAAGACCCGATCAGGCCCCTGGGCGGAGAGCAAGGAAACAACTTCCGGTCCCCTCTACCCGGCATTCTGCCAGCTCTATGATCGCTGAGTTCCGCCCTCCGGCCAGGGATGATCTGCAAGATCCCCGATACGAGCAATCTTCCTACGGGGGTCCGGGGTAAAATAAAACCTAAAGAGCTCTCTCTGCCATTACTTTGTAATTTGCTATAAGAGAAGAATTGACAAGAATTTCTATTAGCTTCATTAAAAACTTTGACTTCCTGCCATATGTTCCGCAGTATGGAAAGTTGTAAAAATAGTGAATAAATCATCGTTTTTTTAAACTGTAAAGTTTTAGATAGCATGAGAAATTATCCTAATTGATTAAGCCGAGGTATGCAAAAAGGTCTAGAGCCATTTTGGCCAGCAGGCAGTGGGAATGGGATGTAAGGGACTGGATGTCGGGGGTGGAGCGGGGTTGGGGAGTAAAGTAAACAAGATGTACTTGAACCAGAAAATACAAAATAATTAGAGAATATAAACTAATCAAAATTTCGTGATATGAAAAACTGCTAAACAATTCAGAAATGCGCCATTACTGTGGGAGAGAATTGTAAAGAATCTATGGCTAATACGAGACTTAACTCCTGCAGAGATGCAAATACATGTGAGATCATACTTACATCTTAAATTTGGCAAACTCTGGCTTTAACATGTTTTTTAGCTTGTGATTAGTTCTTGGTAATTCACAAAGCCAATCTTTTCCAATTTAACATATTGAGTTTTCTCAAATTGTTATGAACGATAACCTCGCAGTTCTTCATCCCCTTTCACAGGAATTTGTTTAAGATAATGTTCTATAAATGTAATTACGGTAGTTTTTTTACATGTTCCTTGTAATGTTTGGATCAGTTTATTCATCACATAAATCGAGCTTAAAAACCTCCACATAAGCCTGTGAGACCACTAAGTAATGTAGTTTTGAAGAGTACCAGCATAATCTTAATTTTTCCGGCACTTAAATTCCCCACATGTGAAATCAGCTTCTTTATATCCAGATTGCATCCTCACCCTCATCACCACCGTCAAAGGAATAGGAGTCCAAGCCCACCGTAAAGGTCAAAGCTTAAGCAATTGACCAACTTACTAAGGTTGATTTCTCAAACTATGGTAACGTGGTCCTTAGAATCTTTTGGAGAATAGAAGGGAAATTAATATTTATTGAGCATCTACTAAGTGCTGAACACAGCATTCCATTGATCTTCCCCTATAAAGCTGGATAGATCTTGTGGAAGCAGGAATAGATCCTATGTCTTTGGTTAACTCTAAAAGCATTTACCCATGGAAATATTGATACATTTAGTGTTTAGGATCTACTCCTGCCACAGGTACTGCCTACTACAAAGGACTAATGAGGATCAATGAGAGTAAGCATGCTCATTAACAAAATTAACTAATTCCTTTTACCCAGTTCTACTTTTTTTTTCTATCACACTTCTCACATTCTAATATGCTATATAATTTACTTATGTTTACTGTAGCTCTAAAGGAGCCCTATAATGGAGCCCTGGTGGCGTAGTGGTTAAGCGCTACAGCTGCTAACCAAAAGGTCGGCAGTTCAAATCCACCAGGTGCTCCCTGGAAACCCTATGGGGCAGTTCTATTCTGTCCTATAGGGTCGCTATGGGTCGGAACTGACTCGACAGCATCTAACAACAACAAAGGAGCCCTGGTGGTGCAGTGGTTAAGCAATTGGCTGCTAACCAAAATGCCAGTGGTTTGAACCCACCAGCCATACCGTGGGAGAAAGACGTGGCAGTCAGCTCTGTTAAAGATTTAGCCTAGGAAACCCTATAGGGTAGTTCTACTCTGTCCTACAAGATTGCTATGAGTCAGAATCAACTCGATGGCAATGAGTATCGGTATTGTAGGTCTCCACATTCTTTCTGTCCCCAAGTTCCTTAAAGCAGAAATCTTTATTGTACACTGATGTATCCAGATACCCAGACGGTACCTGGCAGATAGCTGTTGTTAGCCAGTCAGCTCCAACTCATGACAACCTTATGTATGAAATGTTGCCTTGTCCTGCGTCATCTTTATGATCATTGGTATGTTTGGGGTCTTTTTCTAGCACTATATTGGACAACGTTCTGTTGTGATTCATAAGGTTTTCATTGGCTAATTTTTGGAAGTAGATCACCAGACCTTTCTTCCTAGTCTATATTAGTCTGAAAGCTCCACTGAAACCTGTCCGCCATGGGTCACCCTGCTCATATTTGAAACGCCAGTGGCATAGCTTCCAGCGTCAATATGCAAGCCACCGCAATACAACAAACGGACAGACTAGCGGTGACGGGAGATAGTAAAACCAAACCAAACCAAACCAAACCGGTTGCTGTGGAGTCAATTCCAACTGACAGCGACCCTATAGGACAGAGTAGAACTGCCCTATAGGGTTTCCAAGGAGCGCCTGGTGGATTTGAACTGCCGACCTTTTGGTTAGCAGCCACTACGCCACCAGGGTTTCCATGGCAAATAGTAGGCACTCAATAAATATTTGTTGAATGAATGACCATTGCTCCCTTAAGTCTACAAGCTCTGTGGAAGCAGGCATACCAGCTATCTTATTCTAGCCTTCATCCACAAAGCCTAATTTATGGTTAATACATCAACCCACTGACATCGAGTCGATTCCGATTCATAGCGACAGAGTAGAACGGCACATAGGGTTTCCAAGGAGCGGCTGGTGGATAGTAACTGCCAACCTTTTGGTTAGCAGCCCAATGCTTAACCACTTCGCCACCAGGGCTCCTGACTGATACACAGTACCCATAAAACCAGTTGCCATCAAAGTTCATTTCTACTCATGGCAACTACGTGTGTCAGAACAGAGCTGTGCTCCGTAAGGTTTTCAATAGCACAGTCTCTGATCAGACGTTGATCTTAGCTGGAGTGACTTAGGGACAGTTACATTATCTCCTGTCTCAATTTCCGTATCAGTTAATAACGGGCGTTTTGGCCAAGCTTTGGTTTGTGAGGAATAAAGCATGTAAAGTGATTTACACAGAGTCCGGGACAAGACCATCCCATAATAATCTTTAGCTATTATGATTAAGAACTTTTCCTATTCCTTCAGCATTTGCTTGCCTCTGCTCGTTTTAGTTTAACCTAATCAGGGAAGGCTTGCGTGCGCCCCATCCCTCTCTGGGCATGCGCATCAACAAAACGGCCACGCCCTCTCCTAATCAAATCTTTGGAGACGGAGGAGGGAAAATAGACTTGCCTCCGTCCTATTCTGATTTGATTAGGTGACTAAAACGATGTAAATCCTGTCACATTACAGGTTAAAAGGGCTAGAAAACTCCCGGCTCTTCGCCTGAATACCAACCGCTGAGCCCACGTCCCCGAGGACCCAAGAGCTCTTAAACCCGCCCAGGCTCTGCGCTGGAAGCTGAGCCCGACCACCCCCAGGTAATTGGGGAGGGAGGTGACCGCCTAACAGGTTTTTCATTGGCCCAGAGTCACAAAGGCCGGCAACTTCCCCCCTTCCGGTCGCTGAATGGTTGAGGCCGAAAAACAACGCTTATCGTCATTGGCTGAGCTGAATTGTCAGTCCTTTGGCGTGTCGCGGCGCGGCACAGCCAGGAGCGGCCTGTAGACAGAGCAGTCTCGAAGTCTGCTGCGGGGAGAAGATGGCGGTCGCAGTGAGAACTTTGCAGGAGCAACTGGAAAAGGCCAAAGAGAGCCTAAAGAACGTGGATGAGAATATTCGCAAGCTCACCGGGCGGGATCCGAATGACGTAAGGTAAGGGCCAGCCGGGAACTGCAGGCTAGGAGAGGGAGCTCTCAAAGCCGAGGTGAAGTGGGGGCGGGGAGGGCGCCCAGCTCTGAGAAGGCTGGAACATCGTGGCCTGTTCCCGGGGCGGCGGTAGAACTCCGTCCTCGGTGAGGTGGGGAGTCTTCAGGCCCCCGCGGTGGGGCGCTGGGCTCAGGTTCGTGAGGAAGGCGAGTGAGGCCTGGCTGTGCTTCGATGGCTTCCCGGCCTGTGGGAAGGCCGGGGCTGCGGATTCCCGCCCTCGCCTCCACAGGCCGGGACTACAGCACAAAGCCTCTTCTCCCGGAGCTACCCGGCGCACGGTAGACCCTCCCGGGCACCCACCTGCAGCTTCTTTGGGATTGGCAGAATTAGGGTCAGATCCAGACGTGTTAATGTGTAGTGGCATCGAGGCAAATTTAATTTCTGTGGTATTAATCCTGGAAAACAAGGAAGTTCATCTCAAATAGTACTTCCTGTCAGGTTTCAAACACGTGGTTTTGAAACCATTTACAGTTTCTGTAGTTATTTTATTTTGGTGATGAATCGCACCCGTGGAAGTATTTGTTGCTACTAGATGTGTCTACATATGATTTTTGTGTTGGTTTTTAAATCTCTCATAGGCCCATCCAAGCCAGATTGCTGGCCCTTTCTGGTCCTGGTGGAGGTAGAGGACGTGGTAGTTTATTGCTGAGGTAAGGTTTTTTTTACAACTTGTTCATATGCTATGACTACTGGTATTTTTTTATGCTAAATTAACGTTTTGGTTTATCTTTGGTTTTATATAAACCTGTGATCAGTCAGCTGTACTTTTCTGTATATAGTTATCCTGAAACTTCATTTACATGAAAGCAGAACTCAAGATTGAAAAATTTATTGTTTAGCAGTTTTGTGGAAAATAATTTACTCTTGTGGTTAGGGAAAAAAAACGTTACAGATGTATTTTGGTAGTGAACGTTCATTTAAAGGTTGCTTTAAGTCAAAAAAGCAGTGGTTTGACTGCTAACTGAAATGTCTGTGGTTTGTACCCACCAGCCACTCCACTGGAGAAAGATGTGGCAGTCTGCTTCTGTAAAGATTACAGCTTTGGAAACTCTATGGGACAGTTCTGCACTGTCCTGTGGGGTTGCTGTGAGTCGGCATCGACTCAGTGGGAAAGAGTTTGGTTTAATCGGAAAACTTTTTAAAAAAATGCAAC